TGGTTCAGCATCAGATGCGCCAGTATTTCCATGATGATTCCAAGAGTAAAGGCTTTGGATTCAAGTCACATGGGTTCTAATACTATCTTGGTTCTTTTCTAGCTATGTGACCTTAAGCAATTCGCCTCACCTTTCTGAGCCTGTTTCCTTATACATCAAATCGTTTTGGTAATATGAACCTCTCAGGATTGCTGGGAAGATTAGGGACAATGTCTACATTAAGTATAATGCAGGGAACTTCCAGGGTAGGTGCCCAGGCCCATCATACCAAAGCCCCCACTACACTGAAGGGTTCATCAGACTCACTCAGACAACACATGCTTAGGCCAGTGGCCCGGCACCAATGAGCCACATAAGCCCCATTGTCACTGATGTGCTTTGTTTGTTCTCTTTCTTTTCAATTACAGTTGACCTACAATATTATATTTGTTTCAGGTGTATAACCTAGTAATTAGACATTTACACAACTTAGGAATTGATCCCCTGATGAGTCTAGTAGCCCCCTGGCACCATTCATAGTCATTACAATATTATTGACTATACTCCCTAGGCTGTACTTTAAGTCAATGCTATTGTCACTGATGTTGAACCAATGGTACACTCCTTGGAATGGGCTCCCAGAGAACACCTAGTTCCACTTACTCACTGGACAGATCAGGAGACTGAGCCCCAAAGAGAGCCAATGTTTGCTCAAAGCCACATAGCAGGGTGGTGGCCAAGTCAGTGCTGAAACTTGGCCTCATGGAATGAAGCCATTTGACCATCTGGAAGACCAAAAATAGTGTGCTTAAGAGTACGGGATTTGGGGCCGGCCGAGTGGTGCGTTGGTTAAGAACTGGCTTGGGATGCCAGTTCGGATCCCACATATGAGGGCCAGTGACACTGCCCTCTACAGCTAAGATGCTGAACAACAACTCGACCTGGAGCTGGGCTGCCGTGGGTCACCGGCGACAGCATAGGCTGCAGTCCCCTGTTGCAGTGGGCTACCATAAGCTACCATGTGTAGCCAGCAGCCAGCATGAGTGGCCAGCAGCCACCGTGAGCGGCCGTCCAGAGGCCGGCGACTGATCTGCCTCGCCCGGGAAGAGCGCAATGATGGTGCCAGCTTGGGCCAGCGAAGCAACATCCTTCACAACTAGACTGAAAAACAAAAGGACAGCAACTTGTCTGTTTCCCTTCCCCCAATTCCCCAATAAAATCTTTAAAAAAAAAAAAAGAGTACGGGATTTGGAGGAAGACAGACGGTTTGCATCCTGCCTCTGCACCTTTCATTCATTCAGCAAATATTCACTGAGTGCCTAGCATGTGCCAGGCGCCATGCTCAGTGCAATGGACACAGAGCCCCAGCTCTCACAGTCTGGTGGGAGGCAGTGAACAACCAATGAATAGCAAGCTGACTGCCCACTGTGAGAGGGCAATGAGGGACATACATGGGACAGGGCCCTGAGAGTGACAGGGACAGTAGGGCAGGGAGGCCCCCTCAGGGTGGTCAGGGAGGGCCTCTCAAGAAAAGCCATCTGAGCTGAGACCTGGACACCAAGAAGGACCAGTCATGTGGAGACTGGTGAAGGGCATCCAGGCAAAGAGCTTGAAGTGATGAGAAGAAATGAGGCCGAGTGAGCAAAGGAGCAAGCAGGGGGAACAAGGTCAGAGAGAGGGCAGAGGCCCTGTCAGGCGAGGCCTCCAAGGTCACACAGCCAGGAGCTCAGCTATTTCTCACAGAGCAGTAAGAGGTCACTGGGGGGTCTGAGCAGGCGAGTCATGTTACCTGGCTTATTTTTTTTTTCAAACAATCACACTGGCTGCTGCTGTCTGTGGGACACTTGGTGGCTCTGTGACCTTGGCCAAGTTGCTTAAGCTCTCTGAACCTCGATCTCCTCCTGTACAAAATGGAGATGATAGTACCTACTACACCGGCTTCCTTGGAGGCTAACATGACAACGCACACAGAGCACTGAGCACCGTGCCCCATGCATTGTCAGTGCCAAATAAAGCTTTGCTGTTTTATGTCACCATGCCCAAAGCCCTCGTCCTCCACCAACAGGACATGGCTTGGCCTGAACCTGTTGAAACCATAGATCCTTCCAATCCCATCCACATAGCCCAGCCTCCCACTGCCCTGAAAGCACCACAGCCCATGGTTTTTTTTCTTCTCCCATTTCTCAGATGAGGCTCATTGAAGGTCAGGACCAGCCATGTGCCCCCAAGAGGAACCCCTCAGACTAAGGGCCTCGGACACCAGAGTCCCTGCCGTCTCCACCTAACGGCAAGGTAGGCACTGCTTTTGTAATGGCACCTTTGTAATGGCACCGTTATTTCTACACTGCCCTCAGCCATGGGGGCGTCCACTGAGCTCCTGCCCATCAGAGGTCAGCCAAGGGATGTCAGTGGGAGCCCAGTGACAGGGAGCAGCCAGAGCCTGCTCTCAATTAGGGCCTTGCAAATGGCCTTAGCATCCATCAAAGTCACAGCTCCATCTCCTAGGTGCCCAGGATATATAACATGTCCCAATCAGAGGCCGGCAGAGAGACTGTGAGAAGTAATAATTGCCTTAGCAGGTTGCTACAGCCAGATTTATTATGACACAAAGAAATAAATTTAGCTCCTGGCAGTACTAGGCAGCTGGCCCATCCGCACTGGAGAAATCCTATTTGTTGGGGTCAAGTAGGTGGGGGCTTTTGCCAGGCCCCCTCCTGCCAGGCCCATGGCCCTGGGCAGAGCCAGCCTGAACCATTTATCTTCTTGTGCTCCAGGTCACTTTGTCCAAGAGGCCACCACCTCTGACATATATCACAGCTTTTGAAAATCAGTTCCCAGGCCACAAACTACCCATTTGGAGTTGCACCAAGGGATCTCTGGCTTTTGACACCACCGAGACTGACAAGGGGGCAGGGTGGTTAAAGCCCCAGCCTTTGGAGTCAGCCTAAACTGAGGTTCAAGTTCAAGTCCAGGGTCTCCCATATAACGGTTGTGACTTCAGGGAGTAAACTGCCTCTGTGAGCCTCTATTTCCTCATGTCTAAATGAAGGGCGAGCAATTCCTACTTCAAAGAGCTGTTGTGTAGGTTAAATAAGAAATAAAAGGTGTAAGCCATTTAACACAGTTATCTGTGCTAAATGAAAGGTGATGGTGACCATCTTTATTAACCAAGGACTTTCATATTGTGATATAAGATGGCATTTATTGAAGGACAATTGCTATGCTAGTTCTTTTTAAATATTTTCTCTCTAGGCTTAACAATCAATCCTGCAAGTAGGTGTAATGTTGATTTTCTAGATTAGGAAACAGGGTGGTTAGGACACTTGAACTAGGTCACCAGCTGGTAGGACGTAGAGCTGAGAATGGGACCCTGGCTTGTTGATTCTGGAGCTGGGGCTCCTCCTAATACACAGCCTACCTTCCCAGCTCCTCTGAAAGGCCACGTAAGGTCACTAGTCAGACAGACAGACAACCACACTCCCTCCTTCTTTCCCTCCCTCATGCCAACATATCTCGAGCACCAGCTCCAAGACAAGCTCTTTGGTGGGCAATGGACACAAGATGAACAAAGAAATTACTCCCTACCCTTGGGGAACTCAATACCTGATGAGGAAAGCTGTATCCACACTGCCCAGGACACATCTGTATCAGTTAGCTTTTGCTGCCTAACAAACAATCCTAAAACGTATTGATTTAAAAGAGCAATTTAGTACCTCCCCCAGTTCTGGGGGTTGGTCTGGCAGCGTCTGCTAAGCTTAATCATGCAGCCACACTCACCTGACAGGTTGGCCAGGCTGGACGGCCCCAGATGGCCTCATTCACAGGTCTGGCAGTTGGGGTTTGCTGTTCACGGGTTGCGTTGGTTCTTCTCCCTGTGCCCTCAAATCTTCTGGTTGGCTAGATAGGCTTCCTTACACAGCCGAGTTCCAAGAGGGCCAAAGCTGCAATGCTCCTTGAGGTCAAGGATCCAGAACTCACTTGACGTCACTTCTGCCACATTCTCTTGGTCAAAGCAAGTCACATTCTTTTGCTTGCCCAGGATCTGACGTACATTTGTGACCCATCAGGTTAGGCTTAGCGGCCAGTGCAGAATGAGTGGGAGTGGGTCAGTCTGTGGCTTAGCTAAGTGTGATCATAACTAATACATTTATTCAGATGAAAGGATGTTGAACTGTGAGGTCATTAGAATGAATCATGTCCTTTAACCAATGGAGAAATTGAGGCACAGAGAGTCACAGCCAGTGTGTGAAAAGAATCAGTCCATCATAGAGCCAATCTTTGTATGAAAAAATGAGGCCCAGAAACAGGGAGTGTCTTGCCCAAGATCACACAGCAAGTTTGTGACACAGCCAGGAATGACTCAGGTCCCCATAAGCCAGCCCACTCCTCCTCCCACTTTATTTCCTAAGGAAGCCTGGGGCTGGGAATGGCTGGGCAGCTGGACGACCATCCCCAGCAGGGGGTGTGTCCCATCTCTGCTGTAAGTTTATAAACAGAGCCCTTTCAGCATGCCTAGCACCATGCAAGGCACTCAATGACAATCTCATCTGATCCTAATAGGATCATCCACATTTTACAGATGAGAATTGAAGGCCCAGAGAAGGCCTGACTCACCCAGGGTCTTCCAGCGGTTAGGGCCCGTCTTCCTGACACCAAAGCCTGAGTCTCCCATGCTTCCCTGGAAGAGCTCTACCCGGATCCAGGTCCCCAGGGTCAGGAGGAGGCAGCTCTGTGGTCCTCGGGGACCTCAGGATAAAGCCCACTCCTCTGAGGAGCTGCTTCAGAGGCCTGGGAGGAGGCAGCAATAAGCCCAAGTCCCTCGGAACCCCCTCTGCAAGTGGAAGGACCTTGAGTAATAATCTGGTCCACATCCCCACCATTTTATGGATGGAAAAACCAAGAGCCAGACTAGCACCCAAGCCCCTAACTCCCAGTCCAGGGTCCTCCCACTGCACTGGGAGGCTGGGGGCAAGCGAGCAGGTCCCAGCAGGCTGGTCAGACATGCGCACGAGGCCACACTGTGGCATTCAGAGAGCACATTTATTTACAAAGCGCTTTACAAACATCCGCTTATGCCTCCCCACAGCCCCCTGCGAGGTAGGTCAGTAGTCGTATCTACAGTTTACAGATGGGGAAATTGAGGCACGGAATGGGGGTGTGGCCTGCCCCATTTTAAAGAGATCTTCCCACCCACCCATCAAAAAAATAACAAAATAAACAAAAAGCATTATTTCTCCATCCCAAAATATACCTTCAAACTCTAGGGGTTGTGGGCACTCGTGATCCACTAGTGCCCTCCCCAGTGGGCAGCCTGACCAGGAGTCACAGGGGCTGTTGTTCAGCCTTGTTGTCACTGGCCCAAGCTGTGTGGACCCAGCCAGTGTGGCCTGAAAATTATAGGCAGAGGGGCCTGAGGTGACATCATTCTATTCTGCAGACATTGGGTCAGGCAGGGAAGGGGCCCCATGTAGGGCAGGGTAGGGATGGGCAGGTCCTGGTCCAGAGCGCACATTAGGGAAGCAGAAGTGGGAAGGGTTGTGAGCAAAATATCCCAGGGGCTGCAGGGGGCAGCGGGTGCAGGAGGGGCTGCAGTTCCCCCTGGGGAAGCCCAGTCTGATGTGCCCACAGGCAAATCAGGACAGAGCCCGGGCTCCCCAGAACCCTCAGGGGCTGGGCCAGATGGTATTGTAGCTGCCAAGCCAAGTGCACTGTCTGCCCATGTTGAGCCACACTGGGTGCAACCTTGTTCTGGTACACATTCCACCAAGGGCTGGGGTACAGAGGCTTGGGCCTAGGTCCCCCAGAGCAAGCCGTTATGAGCCCCTGTCACTATGCCAGGCAGTGCCAGGCCTCTCAGCACAGGCCTGCAGGACTCTATACAAGTGGGCTGGGCTGCAGTCTTGCTAAGCTCCTCCTGGTCCACAGCCTGCCCACGATACATGGCAAAAGGCCCTGCCCACAGTGGAAGGCGGCACCAAGATGGCCCATTGCCCACTCCAGTGCTTTCCCTGGGAGGGGTTGTGGTTCAGCAGAGTTGAGGGCACAGGTCTTCCTCGTCAGTCCAGGATGGTGGGCCTGACCCTGAGTGCACAGTGGGTGCTCCAGGCCAGGGGCCCCCGCTATCTTGACTCCAGCCCTTCCAGGTACTCCAGGGCCATATCATAGCAAAAGTGGTACTGATCCTGGGGAGAGGGAGAGAAGGAGTCAGGAGCCTGGCCCCTCTCTAGTCCTGGGTGAGAGAGGGCGTGCATGAGACCTAGCCCATCTTTGGCGAGAACAGGGGAAATGGGGGGAACATTTTGGCACCACAGGACTAGAACCCAAGGCCCAATTGTGGGGACCAGATATGGGAGAGTGGGTGCTGAGGGGCTTGGATGGGCATGAACCAGGAAGTTGGAAGTGGCTGGGCACAGGGGACGTGGCCCCTCACCAGGGTCTCCACCATATTGGGTTTGTAGTTCCTAAGCGTTTTGGCAGCAAAGAAAACGTCCACCAGGTTGTGGCAGCGGATCATCTCCAGGACTGTGGCGCAGGCGCAGAAGGTACCGCTGCGGCCGCCCCCGTTTCTAAATGAGAAACACAAAAGGTTTGGGACAGGGCTTAGGGGTAAGAGGCCGAACTCAAAGGTGAAGGGCAGGGCCAGGGTCTGGGAGCCCAGCAGTGAGGGACGGGACCAGGGAACCCGGAAGGGAGGGTAAAGACGCCAACAGGTGAGCAGCAGGATGCCGTTGGGGGGGGGGCAGAGTCAGACACTAAGACGGACATCCAAGGCTGGGCGTATGTAGGAAGACAAGGCCTCGAAGAGAAACAGAAGATTTTGAGAGAAAGGAGGCAAGGCACACTCCAAGATGGACAGAGGAGGGCAACGGGGCAGCAAGCAAAACTCGGGCAGCAGGATGGAAAATGAACATTGAGAACACCAGTCACCCCCAGAGACACAGACAGGTGTAAACACAGTCAAACCGCAGCCTCTCACACACAGACCCTCCTATCCCCAGTCCCTCTCCCTCTTCTGCTCCCTGTAACTTCAGGGTGTAAGGTGCCTCTTGGGAGATGAGGGGTGGTCTAGACCCTCATCCCCCTTCTCAAGGGGCCTCTCCCACTAGAACCGAAAGCCCCCGAAAGCCAGACCCTGCCTGACAGCTCCCTATCCCTGCCTCCAGCGTACCCAGCCTGGCACTGGGAAGGGCCAGTAAGTGCTGAAAACATGAGAAAGTGGGGGGCAAAGGAGTGACTGTCCCTAAACATGAGTGAATAAATGAATTATGAATTATGAATGGGACATGTGAATGAATGAATGATGAATTAAGTTATATGTGGGTATTCAAGAACAAAGATCGGAAATCCATCCGCTTAAGAAGTGTACGATCAGTAGAGTGAGGGAACGGATTCAATGGAATTGTAATAGATAAGCATGATATCGGGGGTGGGAGGGCAATAGATGGGGGGAGGGGGGTTACTTTGTGAGGGTGAAAAGGGTAACTATTGCACTGTTCTGTACACCTGAAACTAACAATAAAAAAAATAAAAAAATAAAAAAATAAGAAGTGTACAACCTTATCAATGGGATAAACCATTGTAACAGGACTCTAATTAAATTGGAAGTCAAACATCACACAGAGGGTATTGGGTAGCTCCTCAGAGTTGAGTCTACACCCTGGAAACTGCGTGGGTTCCTACAGGGAAGGCAGGTTCAGACCACCTGGGAGCCCAGGACTTTGGTGCCAGCCTTGAGGCCCGCTCTCACACTGGCCCTTTGCCCTGGCCCCAGGGCTCCCTCCTCCCGCCCGGGGCAGGACCAGACTCACAGGCAGTGCACAACAGTGCGCCCGTCCCCGCTCTCTGCCTGCCACTTGTCCACCTCGGCCAGCAGGTGCAGGAAGGCCTTCTTGGAGTCAGGTGTGTCCCGGTACGCGGACCAGCGCAGGAACTGGAAGTGTCGTACCAGCAGGTGCCCCTCCTGCAGCTGGGGGCACGGGCAGCCAGCCAGGGAAACGTGAGCACCAGGGTTATAAGGCCCCTGGTGACCCCAAGGTCATTACAGGCCCCCCTAGCCACCACCCAGGTTCTCACCCTGGGGCCCCCAGATCACTCACCCGAGAGATGTTCTGCACCCGGAAGACACGTGCCACCAAGTCTTCGTTCGCGGTGCCCGACACGAACTCCACCTCCATGAGTCCATACTGCTGCCGGCCGGGCTCTGGCCAGTACTGCAGGCACGGCTGGGGGCAGGGGCACAGAGACGAACGACAGCTGAGCAGAGGTGGATAGGCAGCTGCCGCTCACACCCACCCCCAGACCTCCACTCTTGCCCTGGAGCTCCTGAACCCACTCACTCCAGATGCACCTTCAGAGAACGCCCCCAATCTCCATCATTCACCCATCGGACCGCAGCGCACACCTGCTCCAGTGCATTCTGCACTGACACACTCAGGTCAGCTGAGACAAACCCTTCATAGCGGACGCACTGACACTTAGCTAAGCCGCTATCCAGCTACGCCTCACAGGCTCACACTCACTCAGGAACACACACACCTACGTGAAGCCGCTTTCTTCCGGGACAGGCCTCAGATCACCCATCCCAGCACCCCTGCCCCTGGTCTTCTCCCTCACTACTTCTGCCCTCCAGCATCAGCTCACAGAGGTGGGGTGTCCCTGGTGTTGTGACACAACTCAGCACCTGCCCCAGGACCACTCCATGGAGTCAGGGTCCTAAATGTACACCCTCCAGGTCACAGACTTGAGACAGCAGAGGGATAGAGGAGGTGCAGCCCCCACACACATACATACATGGTCCTCTGCGCAAGTTGGTCCCGGGCCCCAGCTTCTAATCTCAGCTCGTCCTTTCTCTGAGCCCCCGTTTCTCCATCTATGAAATGGCCCCCAGCTTCTCCAAGACAGCACCATGCTCCATCTGCCCAAACCCCATGGAGGGAGGCACCTTCCTCTTTTCGCTGCGGTCCTGGCAACTCCTTGCGTTTAGGCCTTTACACATGCTGCTCCCTCTCCATGGATCACTCGTCCCCGACCTCCTCACCTAGTTAATTCTACCCTTCCTACATATCTCAGTTCAGATGTCACCTCCTCCAGGAAGACCTCCCTGATACATTATCCCTCCGGCTCCTGTGTCCCTGTGCTGGCTCCCTGCTAGCCCCTTCCCTCTGCTGTCACTATAGGGTTTTGTGCCTGCTTCCCCTGGACCGTGAGATCTGAGAGGGGCTGTGTGTTCTCCCTGCCTCCCCACTGCCCGCTGCAGGGCCTGGCAGGGAATGGCCGGTCGTAAAAGGTGGCTGAATGAATGAACACATGGGTGACCCATGAATGATGTCCATGTGCGCCCCCCTCTGGGTGCCTCCCCTCCACCAGAGCAAGGGCAGGTTCTTGCCACATGGGCCTCCCTCTGGATCCCTGTCCAGGGGCTGGAGCCCATTACCCTGCAGTCCTAGGTCATTTAGACCAAGTGCCTGGCTCATAAAGAGCTCGGGTAACAAGTCTTCTCCAGGCAGCCATGAAGAGGCTGTCATGCTCCTTCTACAGCAAATCCTCCCGGCCTCCTGGGGCAGGGAGCTGGGGCTGGAGGGGCTCAGAGATCTAGGCGATACGGTCGTGCAAGGCTGGAAGGCTGGGCATCTCCTCTTCCTAGGAGCTCCAGCTGTGGAAGCCCCGAGAGGAGATGATGGAGCAGCCCCTCTGGCTGAAGTCACTGAGCCAGGGTCTGGACCAATCTCAGAAGCCACCGTCACCCTCACATCTTCATCCCTGCTGTACACCGAGTGCCTATGATGTGCTAGACATGGCACAGTGCTAAGCATCCTACGTACATCTGACACGGTCCCCGTGAGAGAACAGGTGCTGTGAGGGTCCCCATTTCACAGAGAAGGAAACTGAGGCTCAAAGGGGTCAATTAACTTACCCTAGATCAAACAGTCAGAAAGTAAGGAGGCTGGAACTTTGCTCTGCCTCAAAGGCTCCCATGATGGGCAGTTTAGATGAGCAACTGAAAAAGCAGCTCTGGAAGGAGGCAGCCCAGACAGGGGACACCGCTCTGCCACTTCCCAGCTGTGACCTTTGAAGAAGCTGCTTCACCTCTCTGGGTCTTAATTTTCTCACCTGAAGCCCATGAGTGCAAAGCTGAGTCCCTGACATCCAGCAGGCACTCCATGAAGACCAGCTATTTTCCTCCAGTCTGCCAACCTCCGTTTACAGACTAGGAAACCCAGGTTCTGGGAGGGAGCATGACCTGTCTAAGGTCACTCAACAAGTAGATGGCAGAGCTGAGATGCAACCTCTGACTCCCAGGATGTGCCCTTGAGCACACGGAGGCCCTGGGCAGCGCACAGCCTGCCCGCCCGCCCAGCCAGTGAGGCCCTCACCCAGGCGGAGTTGGACTGGTGCAGCTGGTTAAGCATGACAATGGAGGTGCAGCCGTAGTCATAGACCAGCCGCCAGAAGTCTGGAGTGGTGCTCTGCAGCGGGTGCAGGGTCACGATGAAGGCTGCGCTCCGTGTGTAGCTCTGCAGGGAAACCAGGACTCAGAAGGGCCCTTTTGCCCCCCAACACAGCCCTAGCCTCTGCCACGGGCCCTCTTCCCACCCTGCCCACCCCTGGACCAGGCTGCCTCCAGTGGCCCACATCAGAGGTTGGCCGGTACACTGAGGCCTGAGTTGACAGGGTGCGCCCCCAGGCCTCTATGGCCCAAGCCCACGGCTCCCAGGAACTAAATAGCAAAAGGTTCCCAAATGCATGGCACTGAGAGCTCTGCTGGGCAGAGGCTGGCACAGCCGGCTCCTGCCTCAGGGCCTCTGCATCTGCTGTACGTGTTGCCTGGAACTAACTTCCCAAGTGTTTCCATGGTCCTCTCCCTCACTTTTGTCTGGTCTTTGCTTAACCGTCACCTCCTCAAAGAGTCCAAAAATAGCCACATACACAGGCCCCCAAAACCCACATTAAATACTTCTTCTACCTGTTTGTTTTCAGTAGAAATTACCACTGTCTGACATTCCATTGTATATTTGTTGAATGACTATCTCAACCCGTTTCCCAAACGCAAGGTTTCAAGAGGAGAGATTTCAGGATGTGGCTTGTACCCAGCGGCCCATTCCCACCCAGGGCCAGCGAGCCCAACGTGACTCTCCGTCTGTCTGTCTCCTGCACCTGTCTCTCCTATCACCTGTCTCTCCTGCACCTATCACCGAACCAGTTTGGGAGAGGACTGGGATGACACTCATAGACTCTTTCCTGCTCAGACAGCAGCATCTTGGAGTTATTCATTGTCCCTAAAGCACCTTGCTCTGCTTGCAACACCCAATGAATGAGGTGGAGGGCCCTGAGCTGGGAGCAGGGGCAGGGGCTGCTAAATGGCCCCTGAGCCCTCAGACCATGGCCAGGGTGGGGCCAGGGAACAAATCACCGTCCCAGGTTATGTCCTGGCTCCAGTTCAACGCCCCAGGACAAGCCCCCCTGGTTCCAGACATCAGGTCTCAAGTCCCAACCCCAAACCCTCCCAGCCTCCCAGCTGAAGTCCCCCAGTCACTCCTCCTCCCCCAGGCTCTGCTGACTGATCCTGGAGACGGCCCTGCCTGGACTCCTCCACCCAGACCTCTACTCAGACCAAGAGTAATACCTGAGGGGGAGCACTGGCTTTGATGCCCTGAATGGAAGATCACTGGGAATAGGAGAGTCACCCCATGGGCCTGGGTCCCCCAAACAGAGCCTTGGGCCCCGCTCCCTGGCTCCTGGTCCTCCCCAGATGCTGCTGGGTGGGGCAGTCCCAGAGCCCACCCCAGGCCCAAGCCCTCACGTCAGTCAGGGCCGCATTGATGTAGTTGTTGGGGTCCCCATCGGTGGAGATGAGGAAGGGCAGGCAGCGGTCGGGTGGCAGGACGTCCATGCTGCGGTTCTTGTCACGGTTTCGGGGCAGCAGGGCAATGCTGCACTCCTCCACATCCAGTGGCGGTGTGACCGAGTTCAGCGTCTACAAGGAGTAGGAAAAGGAATGGGGGTGACAGGCAGTGCTTCTGAGTCTCCTCACAGCCCCGTGAAGGAAACTGGGCCGGGTTATTAACCCCATTTTATGGATGGAGAAACAGGTCCAGAGAGAAGTGGGAGAAGGCAGGGACCCAGGCTCCCTGTCTCCAGGCCACGCAGGGCCTGGGCAGAGCTCTGGAGACTGGAGGCTGCCTCTTGCCACCTGTGTAAACTTGGACAAGCACCTGTATCTCTCAGCCTCATTTTCCCTCAACTGTAAAATGGGATAGTAATATGCTACCTAAAGGGCTTCTAGGAGGATAAAGTGAGATAATGTCAAACACCCAGCACTGACCCTGGCACATGCAGGCTCAATACACAGAGATCATCATCACTAGCTTATCCGGTACTTTCAGGAGACAAGTCCTGGAACCCCATGTCTTCCACAAAGCAGAGTCCAGGGACCTGACATAGGTCGTCACCTTCTTTGGCAGTGGCCCTGCCTGAACAGAACTCAAGTCTGGAACACCTGGCACTATGCAAGCTAGGGACTCTGGACTCCCCCTCTTGCCTTCATGCCTCATGCGTCCTGACTCATGGGGTCTTAGTTTCTTTCTGTTGTCCTTGGTGATCCCTCACAGGGAACCCCAGTCTCTCGTGATTCCCAAAGGCCAACATCATTCCCCGGGAATCGCAGACAGCATTTCCTGTGACACCGCTCTAGCGCACCAGGCACCCAGCATGTACCATCCAGCTCAACCCTCGCAGGAACCCTGGAGTGGAGAAGACATCTGGGGGTCTCTGCCCACCTAGTGACCACACTCTGGACCCCTGGAAAAGTACCCTTTCCGGTCTCCTGACAGTAGAGATGACATGAGCCTAGCACTGCTGGCGTCCAGGGTGTAGATCTGAGAATGAAGCCAAAAACAGACCCAAAAATATAGACAGATGATGTCTTGGCATCATCAAATGAGCCCCTGGATCCAGCCATAACTGAAGCTATACCAGCCTTTCCAGTTACAAGAGCCATTGAGCTGGATTTTTGTCACTAGCAGCCAAAAGAATCCTGATGAACACTAACACTGCGAGGTTAGAATCCTTCTTTTCTGGATGAGAAAACTGAGGTTTGGAGCGGTAAAGTGAGTATTCAAGGCCACTCACAGCTCTTAACTAGGTAAGCCAGGATTTGAACCCAGGTTTATCAGACTTCAAAGCCTAGGCTCCTAAGCGCTTTGATGCACCACCTTCTCCGCTGTCTCAGAGACCTTCCTAGTAGCCCAACTCTGACTCCTACAGCACTGAGGACCTCCAATACACACTCATTCACACACACACACTCACAAAGCACAACTTCACACCTACACTCATGCCCCACCTGGAACTCTTCCCGCAGCTGGGAGGAATTGCTCTGAGGGTCAATGCGGATCATCTCCTTATAGGTGGCCTTGAATTCACTGACAGGGATGGTGGTCTCCCCACACAGGCAGGCCTCCAGGATTGCATCATGGATGAAAATATACTGCTCCTGGAACAGGAGGTAAGAATGTAAGGAACCAGGAAGGGACTAGAAGCTAGAGATTCGGGGGTAGTGGCAGAAGGGAAAGACCTCAAGGCTGAGGCAGGGGTGCTTTGAAGTGGAGTCCAGCCGCATGTTACTACAGGTTGAAACAACCCTACTTGAAACAATCTTCATGGGTATGTTCACTTATCTCATATTTCGCCCCTACGACAACCCTGTGAGAAGCTCTGATGGTGAGGGGACAGCCCAGGGTCACACATCTGGTGAGAATACAAACCTCGGTACATCTTCACTGCAGAACCTATGACCTTGGCCTGCTGCTGTTTGACCTCACCAGACAGAACACAGGGGAGCTGAATTTGGGAGAACCTGAGAGGTTGGCAGGCCAAGTTCAGAGATGGGAAAGAACAAGGGGGCATCCTAGCGAGGGGAAGAGCCTACGGATACCCTTCTGACACCAGCTGTGACCTACTATATGAGGGACCAAGTCCTGGAGCGGGGAGTGGGAAGAAGGCTGCATCCCCTACCTCAGTCTGGATCATGTTGACACGCCGGGAACAGAGGGTCTTCACGCAGTTGTAAATGTCCACGACGCCCTCACACTCGGCCATGTCCAGCATCACATCCAGAACGATGTAGCAACCTGTACGACCGGTGCCCGCGCTGGGGAGAGAGCAGCCCAGGCCAGGTCAAGGCCTTGGGGAGGGAGCCCGGGACCAACGGGAGGAAGAGAAGAGGGGGGCCTGGGGCACCTGGCCATGTGTGCCCCACACAGGGGAGGAGGGACGCAGAGAGATCCCTCCCCAGGCAAGGAGGAGCCAGGGAGAAGGCTGCTGGAAGAGTTCTGGTGAATTGCGACAGAGGACAGAGCTGGGCAAATGCCTGAGACAGGAGACAAGGGAAGGGTAGGGAAGACGCAGAGATGAGATGTAGCAACTTCCACTGGGGCAGAGGGACAAGTGATGCTCAGAGCTTAATCCAAGAACGTTCTTGCGCCTGGATATCCCCAAATCTCCACACATCCTTCAAAGCCCCACGCACTCATAACCACTCACAACCCCTCCAGCAGATGGCATCCTTTGGAGCTCTCGAGCAATGTGGGCAGGCTTCTCCCTGCTACGTGGTCATTGGTTAGGTGGCTGTCTCCCTCACCCACCAAGCTGGGCTGTGTTGGATCCATTTCGTGTGCAGCACCAGGTGGAGCAGGATTGAGGGGAGGGGCAGAGAAGAAAGATGACACCAAGACTTCAAGCTTGAAAGTGGTGGCATCGAAGTGTTGGGGAGAACATAGAGCAACTGGGTCTCCCATACAGCGCTGATAGGGGCTTAAGTGAATACAACCACTTTGGAAAGCTGGCAGTATCTACTAAGGCTGAACGTTCGCACAGACAGCGATTCCACTCCTACGTACATTCCCCACAGAAATGCATGTGTATATTGGCCAAAAGACACTCAATAGAATGTCCTGAGCAGCACTATTCATAACAGCTCAAAACGGGAAGCCACCCAAACGCCTATCAAAAGCAGGACAGATAAACACATTGTGGCTTATTCATCCAGTGGAATATGATACCATATGAATGGATCCTACGAACACAAGGTTGAGGGAAAGGAGTCAGACACCAAAGAGCACCTGCTGTGTGATTCCATTTACACCAAGTTCAAAAACTCACAACACGAATCTATGGTTTAGAAGTCAGGATACTGGTTGCTCTGGGAAGGAGTGAGGCTCAGGGGACCTCCGTGTGCTGTTAATGTTGCTTCTTGATCTGAGTAGCACTGGTTATTTCACAGGCATATTCAATTTGTGAACTCATGAGGTTATAGATACACTTAACTATGTGTGCACTTTGCTTTAAGTATATTGCTCATCGATAAAATTTTATTCTGAAAAGACAGTATTTTAAAGAGGCCCTAACGAGGGCCGGTCGAGTGGCGCGTTGGTTAAGAGCTGGCTTGGGACGCCAGAGGGCCCTGGTTCGGATCCCACATGAGGGTCAGTGACACTGCCCTCCACAGCTAAGATGCTGAACAACAGCTCAACCTGGAGCTGGGCTGCCTTGAGTCGCCTGCGACGGTATAGGCTGCAGCCCCTGCTGCAGTGGGTTGCCATGGGCTACGGTGTAGCCAGCAGCCAGCATGAGCGGCCAGCAGCCGCCATGAGCAGCCGTCCAGAAGCCGGCGACTGATCTGCCTCACCCGGGAAGAGCGCAATGATGGTGCCAATTGGGCCAGTGAAGCAACGTCCTCCACAACTAGACTGAAGAACAAAACGACAGCAACTTGTCTGTTCCCCTTCCCCCAATTCCCCAATAAAAAGAAATGTTTCAATAAAATAAAATAAAATAATAAAGAAGCCTAAAGAAATCAAAGAGAAGCAGGTTTGGGGGTGGCAGGGCAGGGAGAGGAAGGAGTCTGGTTTGTGCGACTTGGAGAGCCATTAAGAAGCTAAGGAGAGGAGCCAGCACGAGACACAGAGGTCAAGGACTGTGGGCTCAGGGGACTTGCCAAAGCCACAGGGTCAGAGGTGAAGCTCTCCAGGGGTAGAGTGACAGGAACAGGGGCAAGAACAGGAAAGGGCACTGGGCTCCCGCTTAAGAGGCAAGAGGAAGATATGGAACTGGGCAGGACGCAGAGCAAAGAGAGAAAGGGCAACTGGGGTGACAGGACCCAACCGAGGCAGGAGCCTGAGAGCAAGGGGTGAATGTAAAGCCGCAGAGGGTATGAAAGCCAAGGGGCCAGGAAAGCCTCTGGGTTTGGAGAAGAGAAAGCGAAGTCCTTCCCAGCACCTGGGCCAAACCTAGCACGCAGGGGTGCAGTGACACTTGCTGAAGGGAAGCAAATGGAACTTGATCCTGCCTAGTGCTGCCAACCTCAACACCTCCATGTCTCAAGTGCCTCCTTGGCGTCTGGGCCACTGGCCTCCCCAGGCCTTGGGGGGCACATGAGGCTGCAGACCTTAGAGCCAAAGCTCAAAGGGCAAAGGGCCCTTGGCGGTGATTCTCTCCTGTCCTCTCTCTGTCTCTAAGTAGGATGAACCCAAGCCCAGCCTCCTGTAGAAACCTTGAACCAACCCCGCTCCTGGCCTTTCTCCTCCTGAGGGTCCCCAGCGCCCCACCTGCAGTGGATGACAATGGGCCCAGCATCAGGCGGGGTGGAGGCTTTCACGCGCCGGATGAAGGCCAGCAGCCCCGTGGCGTGGTAGGGGACGCCGTGCTCCGGCCACGCCGTGAAGTGGAACTGGCGGACCTCGTGCCGGGCAGAGTAGCCTCTCTGGGGAGACAACAGTAACCACAGTCAGTCACTGCTGGCATCTGTTAGACACGTGTGCCAGGCACTGGGGTGAGCATCTCACCCCAGGATCTCAATTAATCCCAATAATAAACTTATGAATGGGTGTTAATGTCTCCTTGTACAAGTGAGAAAACTGGGGCTCAGAGCAGAAACCCTGTGCCTGAAGTTACTTACGGGAACTTGGGGGTAGCCTGCCTGACGCCTGTACCTGTGCTATTAAATACCCACCTCTGCCACCACAGGCTGTTAACTCTAGGAGGTCATTTTGACTCTCTGGTCTTAGTCTAAAGGGGGAAACTGTCTCTCCTCTGAGGATCTTACGGAGGATCAAACAGGATCCTGCACGGGAGGGTTTGGCCCATCACTGGCCCTGTGGCCTCTCATGAGGGATGTGAACCACTCTGAGCCTCACTTTCCTTATCTGTAAAATGGGGCTAAGGATAAACACCTAACCCCACAGAGCTTTCCAGGGCCGAAACAATATGTGTAATGGGGTCAGCACAGTGCCCAGCACAGAGTAGGACCAACACCCGGCAGCTAGCATCATCTTCAGTGTCTCGACTTCCTCTTGGAGTCGCCAGCGAAGATGGTTACCTTCCGTCCTTCCATGGTGCTCCCAGCACTTACCAAGTAGCTACCTTGCCGGGAGGGCAGCAGTGCCCTCCTCCTTCCTCCCATTCCTGGGCTGGGCAGCTGGGGAGGTGGGCTCTGCCCCGCCCCCTCAGGTACCCGAGTGACCAGGTGATGGGAGACTCACCCGCTCCAGGGCAAAGGTGCGCACGACGTATTCGGCAAGAGTCTCCGTCTTCACCAGCGTGATCTTGATGTCCCCGTACATGTCTGAGTCCTCCGGCCAGTACCGTGAGCACTTCACCTGCAGTCCCCATGGGACAGGCTCAGTGGGCTCTTCACTGCTCCCCTTGGCCCACCATGCCCCCTCATTCCACGGCCCCACTTACCCTGCCCACCTCCACCAGCTTCGTGATCATGACGATGCTGGAACAGTGCTCCTGCCACACCAAGCGCCAGAAGTCGTAGACCATCTCGGGCTTCGGCCCTGGGGGTGCAGAGGGTACTTGTCCCTGAGGCAAGGTCTCCGCCCAGGGCCAGCACCCGCACTGGCCAGCACCATCCCAGGCCAGGAGGCTCCTGAGTCCCAGTGGGGGCTTCATGCACACCCTCCACATACCCCACCAACTGCCAACTCATGCCTGGGGGGTCCCAGGGGTGGGCAGCATCAGGGAGAGCCTGGCTGGAGACCTCGGTCATCCTGAGTGGAACCCAGGAGGCAGAGCTCGGGGCCCACGGCACAAGTCTCCAGGAAGGATGGACAAATGGACAGTCGGTAGGGAAAGTCACAGCCAGAGGGACCCAGGCGGCCCCTAGACCGAGAGGCACAATCCACAACCCTGAGGACTGAGTCTGCACCATCCCAGGGACAGACAGATGGACAGGGAGCTACAGATGGATTGAGCACATCAGGGAGACACAAAAGGGAGGAGGGGCAGAGACTGACAGCCAGATTTCAGAAGACCCAGCCAGAGTGAGGCTCAGACAGACAGACAGACAGAGACAGACGAGGAGTCAGGCAGCTCAGCAGGGAAGGCAGAAAGATGGCGGAGGGCATTCAGCACACTGGGGACACGCGGGGGCACACGGGCAGAGGGGCCAGGTACCTTGAGTAGCTATGAAGTGGTTTGACCTGTGGTAACCCTGGAACAGAAGAGGGTATAGTGAGACTCTAGGGAGCGGCCCCTCTGCCCTCCTCTCCCAGAAGAAACACACCTCCTCCCCAGAACTGCCCCACCCTCTTCCCCAGGACCTCCAAGCCAGGGGACCCTGTCCTCCTAGTCCCCAAGCAAGAAGGGAAAAGCAGCTGAGACACCAGCATCTTGGTTCTGAACCCATCTTTGCTGTGTGAACCCAGGGAGGACACGACTCCTTTTGGGGCCTAGAGGGTCTCCCTATCCATAAATTGGGAATAACTGTCCACAATCCACTGACAATCCAGCTGTTGTTTGGAGACAAAGTCCAGGATGACGCTGCCCTGTCCCCAAAGGCCCAGAGGCCCTAAGCAACCCCAGACCCTAGGCTGGGTCTTGTCAGCTCTCCCAGCCCCACTCGGGACAACCAGTGCCCTCTCCCGGCTACCTCAGTCACTCAGAGCTTAGGGACCCAGATGAAGGCTTCAGGTTGGGAGCAAATGAATACACAGGTTATTCATGGTTCTTAGATAAATGTTTTTTAAATCCTTAAAATCAATAGTAATAATAATAATTTTTGAGATCCTATTATGGCCACGTACTGTGCTAAGCACTTTACCTGGATTATCTCCCACAAAATGGAGGCCAAGAGATACTCCATCCTCCATCCCCAGGGCCCTCGGGCTGAGAAGAGGAACTAGCCAGACCCCACTCCCACCCCAGGCCCACAGCCACCCATGAGGTTCTGTGCACATGAGACGCCCAGGGCATCGCACAGGCAACAGAGCATTACAGATAGGAAGGACAGCAGGGCTGGTGCAAGCTCAGCCACTGGCCTCAAGTTCACACCCTCAACACAGCTCCCTGAACTCCTCTGGCCCTATGGGCTCTCCAGGCCCAAGGAGACCAGGAGTCAGGCTGCCAGGGTTCAAATCCCAGCTCTACGGAGCTCTTGCTAACTGTGCACCCTTAGGCAAATCCCTTTACTTCTCTATGCCTCGGTTTTCACATCTATAAAATGGGAACGATTATAGTATGGACCTCCTCAGGCTGTTGTGAGGAGTAAAGTAACCTATGTCAAGGGTTTGGCACGGTGGCAAGCACAGTGTCAAGACTTAATCAGTAGCAGCTATTATTATGACTACTACTTCAAAGGCCAAAGAGTATCTCTGAAGATCCGAATAGTGTGGATGTCAAAAATTTCCGGGGCAGAGGTGGTTGGCTAAAGAGGTTAAGAATCTTAGCCTTGGAGTCAAGTTGACCTGGGTCCCTGTCGCAGCTCTGCCAAGCAGTAACTGCGCGACTCAGAGTACTAAGAGAGTGCTTCTCAGCCTCTAATGTGCACATGAATCTCCTGGGGATCCACTTAAAAGACAGATTCACATGCAGGTCTGGGGTGGGGCCGGGGACTGTGCATTTCCAGTCAGCTCCCATGCAGTGCTGATGCTGGGCCTCAAAGCACACTTTGAGTGGACAGGCTCTCCGCCTCTCTAAGCCTCTGTTGTCCTCTGTGTAAGAGGATAATAGTGAGACACACACCTCAGAGAGCCTGCTGTGCACCTACATACCATTCCCATGAAACTGACCGAAACAGTCCAAGATACCGATAACGAAAAGCCTTCCAGACTCACTCAGCCCTCTCACTACTGGAAATTCTCCAAGTCTAGCCTAATACCCTACCTCTGTCTCCCCAGCCACTGCCTCTGCTTCAAGTCCTCAGCAGAGCTGCTAGGCAACTGGGGTCAGAGGGCAGGGCCTACCAAAGATGCTTCCAGTGATGCCCTCCGACCCCTAGAGCTGGTCCAGCTGGGAATAGGCTACTCCACCTAAAACCCATTTTCCTGAGAAGCCTACACAAGAGCAAGAGTCTCTTCTGATTCGTCCATCTCTGTCCCTCCAGGGCCCAGCCCAGTGCTCACATCCATACGCTAGTCAGCGAATATAAGTTTTTAAACCGATAACCTTCAATATCTGCATATTAGCTTAATTGCATATTTGCATTATTGCACAATTATATTCCATAAAGGACAGTGAAGTGGAAAGTTTAAAATCAGATTTAGAGAAAGGTAAGATCACTTTGAGCACACCCACATTAGAGACCAGCATTAGAGAGCATGGGTCCTCACACTCCAGGGCACCTGTGTGTTGTCCGAGGCATCTGCTCCTGGGGCAGACACCCACTCCTCCCTGCAGCCTCCAAGTGGGTGAAGCCAGGGGACTGACCACTTGCATGATGGGTGAGACCCCCGGGGCATCCTGATGCTCCCCAAAAGGGAGAGAACCACAATCTAGTGTTAGGGTCAAGGACTCAGGCTGGGTTTAAGGCCCAGCTCCATGCGGCCATGAGCAAGTCACTTAACTTTTCTAAGCCTCAATTTTGTCATCTGCCAAACGTGGGTCCCTACCTCACAGCGTGTGGTAAAGATGATGGGATGTGCCACAGGTGCCGGCACACAGCAGGTGCTCAGCCAGTGACACTCTTGGTAACTGGCATTTGAAGCCAAATTAAGCCAAGGCATCTCAGGGCATTTCTTAAGAGTCCAACAATGAACTGAATGGGCGGGACTGTGTGTTGCATGGAAATGGAGGTGTAAAGAAGTATAACGCCCTATATTCATTACCCACTAATGGGGCGCTAGGGCTGAGCATAGCCACTGCAATTTCTGGGCCCCCTATTCCATTTAAATTTAGGAACCTTACAAACCAACTGTTTAAGTGCACTCAAAATAAGAGGGATGGGCCGGCCGAGTGGCGCGTTGGTTAGGAGTGGGCTTGGGACACCAGCTCTGAGCAGCAGGGCCCCGGTTCAGATGCCACATGAGGGCCAGTGACGCTGTGCCTTCTACAGCTAAGATGGTGAACAACAGCTGGATCTGGAGCTGGGCTGCTGTGAGTTGCCAGCAATGGTGTAGGCTGCAGTGGGGCTGGCTGGCAGCAGGTGTGAGCTGCCATGAGCCGCTGTGAGCCACCGTGAGTGGCCGTCCAATGGCCGGCGAGCAACTGCCTCACCCGGGAAGAGCGCAATGATAATACCAACATGGGCCAGTGAAGCGATGTCTTCCACAACTAGACTGAAGAACAAAAGGACAGCAACTTGTCTGCTCCCCTTCCCTGATTGCCCAATGCTGTTCTCCTCCCGCAATTCCCCAATAAAATCTTTAAAAAAATAAAATAAAATAAGAGGGATGTCTGGGAGCACATCTGGGGTCACTGGTCACCTCCAGCAGAGGCAACTGCCAGGACCTGTGTGTTAGGCATCTCCATGCTGTCTGATAGTCTGATAATGAACTGTATTTTGTAATCATACAAAAGCAAGAAATATAGTTTTAAAAGAAAAAGGAGATAAAATACAAAAGATACCCACAAAATAGCAAACAATCCTATCAGGCATCAAATAGTATGAAAATAATATATAGAAAAATCAAATCAGAGGATCGCTAGACGGATTTGGGGTTTAATATTCATAAAAGGCCCAAAGATGAAACATTCAAACTGGGGCTAAGTTGAGCGCAAAGTGGTTGGGATTGAGTTTCAAGCAAACTGATCACGAAGGGATTTGAACACCAGGGAAACTAGGTTTCAGGGGACTGACCAGGGCTGTCCTTGCTTCCTGGAAGATCCTGACCCCAAAGCCACAGAGACAGGGCACCCAGGGCAGCTCCCCTTAACCCCCGCACACCCCTCCCAGGGCCCAGAAGGAATGGCTGGTGAGGACTCGTCAGGCATGGGGACTGAGGGCAAAGGTGACAGAAGGTGGTGGCCAGTGCCGAATGGGGCCTGGGGAAGCACCCCAACACTGCTGCCCATCTCGGGGCTGTGGAAGATGGGAGGGAACTGCTCCCAACAGGGATAGTGTCGAATCTTCAGCTCTGGGCGGGCCCTGGCCAGGCTGCTAAAAGGGACAGTTAGTGTTGGGCGCACAAGTGAAGGGGAAGGGGGACGGAGACAGAGAGAGTCTGAGATACAGCCGGTCAGACAGACAGGAGGAGCAGGAGGAAGCGGAGGAGGAAGAGGAGGGGAACAGGAGAGAGATACTTACTTCACGGTTTATCCGAATCTTAATGATTCCAGTGAGGGAACAGTACAAAGCAAAAGAGACAGATATTAGGCCAGAGGCAGATGGATGTGGACGGAGCACAGGAGTGGCCAGAATGGGTGATGGGAGCAGGGGGAGCAGAGCAGAGACAGGTGGGCCAGGCTGGGCCAGGGAGGGGAGAGTGGCGTGTCCCTACTAAGGCCCAAGGAGAAGCCAACTAGGACCTTGAAGGAGACCAAAGAGAGGCCCCTTGTCTCCAAAGCTGCTTGAGTCTGAGGCCAGGCCTTGCCCGTACCCCAGCCAGGGGAGGTGGCGGAGAAGGCAAGGGATTCTGGGAAATGTGGGGTAACATGTCTGGCCCCCAGGGACAAGAGAGGTCACCTCCAGAATCCCCAACTACCCCACCTCCCAGATACGCACCTTCCTCTTCCACACACCTCAGGCCTGGCCTATGCTGCTCCCTGCCGGGGATGTCCCTTCCTTTACTCTCCAGCCACCCAAACCCGCCTTCCTCCGCGAGGCCTGCCACAGATAACCCTGGCCCTACCGCTGCCCGGCTGCGCCACACAGGAAAAGTCATTCCCCTTTTCTGACCTGTGCTTTCCCAGCTAATCTGAAGTTATTTTACTTGTAGATGCGTTTCTGTGTCTCCCCCACTAGACTTCATATGTTCAAGGAAAGCAGGGATCATGTCTGGCTTGTTCACTGCTCTATCCCTGGTGCCCAGCACAATATCTGGCACACTGCCGATGCTCATCTTACATCTGATAAATAAATAAGCAATTGTCTCCCACACCTGGCTTGCTGCAGGGTGGGGGAGTCTGACCAGGGTCTTGTCTCACCCTCCTCCACACTTGGGGAGCAGACTCATCAGCTCTTCTCCACGCCCCAGGCGAGGCCTCCAGCTGCCTGCCCTGTCTCTGGCCCCTCCCTCTGGTTCAGCCAGACCCAGTTGCTGCAGTGACGGCGGGAGGGCCTCATGGTTCGCAGCAAAGGCTTTCGAGACATAAACAGGCTGAGCTATGCATCCCTTCCTGGCCACTCACTAGCTGTGGAAGCTAGGATCAGCAGCTTCACCCCCCTGAGCCTCCAGTTTCCTCATCTGTAAAGTGAGGTCATGATGCCAACTACCTCGTAGGGTGGTGGTAGAGATTATATAAAATTAAATATTTAATATAAAGTGCTTAGCACAGTGCTTGGCACACAGTACATGCTGAATAAATTGTTATTCTTAAAGTACCACTCTGATCACAGTCAAAACAACTTTTTAAAAACTCCCTGGTGCCCGTAGGGAAAAGCCCGGACTCCTCAGCCTGCCATTGGAGGCCTCCCCAGCCCGGCCCCTGCCTACCGTCAGCCTCACTGTGTCATGAGAATCTCACCACCAAGCCTCCTGGCCCCTCACGGAGAGGGGCTCCTTCCTCACCACTAGGCCTAGCTGTCTGCCCTCTTCAGTCTGCGTCACTGAAGCCCCCATCTCTCAGCCTAACCCCAGAAGTCTGCAGGAAGCCTTCCTGATGGCTGCCACCCACTCTGTCCTCCCCTCCTCTGAGCTCCCTGGCACTGACTCTAGGAGGGAGGGGCCCTCAGTATCCAGCCATTTGAACCCCCATTGATCTGCTGACAAGTTTCTGCCCTGCCTGGACAGTGAGCCTGGAGTGGGCAGGGCCAGGTCAGCAGAGATGGCAGGGGCAAGGCACTCACGTCTATGTAGTTGGCGTTAATGTAGTCGGCGTCGGGGTCTCCCAGCATTGGGTGCAGCTTCACTCGGTGCCGATCATCTGGAAACACAGAGCAGGTGGCCATGGGTGGGCAGGGGCTGAACCGAGAAGCCGAGAGCTGGGGCAGTGGGGGAAGGCTTCCTGGAGGCCAGACATGGGGAGTAGGCAGGGCAGCCTAGGAACTGACCAGTAGAGGCTCTGGGAGCCACGGGGGATAGGACAGACCAGTGGTTAGTCTGGCTGCGGAACCAAAAAGGCCTGAGGTCGTGTGCTGCTCAGGCAAGTGTGAGCTGTGTGACCTTGGGCAGGGGACTTAACCTCCCAAGCCTCAGTTTGCTTATCTGTAAAGTGGGGTTATGACATGTTCCAATTCACAAGGTTATTGAAAGGAATAAGTGAGAAAATGGGTGTAAGGCTCAGCACATGGTCGGGCAGGTGGTAGACTCTCAATAAGCGGCTCACTCTGGCTGTTCTCCCCCTTCCTATGCCCTCCCAGGCCCCAGGCCCTTCCCCAGAACTCACAGGCAGGCAACGGCTCCTGCCGGCCACTCTTGACCTTGTCTTTCTTCTTTGTGGCATCCCAGCCTTCAAAGAAGCTCTGCCAGAAGAGAAAGTGGAAGTCAGTGGGGGAGAGAAACGCTTCCACTCATAAAGACCCCTGTCCCCTCAACAGGATGTGGGTGGCACCACGCTGAGAGCCAGGTTCAGGGTTAAACTTGGGGCCTGAGACAAAGTCACTGTAAATCCTTTTATCAGCTTAGTTCAAAACTGTGGGGGAGGGGTGGAGTGAGAAAGGGGGGGAAAGAGGGACAGAGTTCAGAGGCATTTTAGAATAAGGGTCAGGTTTAGGTTAAATCCAGGTTTGAGTCAGGAAGAAGGTAAAAGTGAGAGTCAAATTAAGACTAAGCTAAGGATGGTGTCAGAGTCCAGATGGAGGTAGGATGGGATTCAAGTTAGAGTTCAAATGGAGCTTAGGATGAGAGTCAGGGTCAAAGTCAGGCTGGGGGTTAGGTCAGAGGTCAGGGTCAGTGCTGGTGATCAGGTTCTTATTAGGGATAGGATAAGGAGAACCACCATGGTCCAGATGGAGATTGAGATAAGATTCAGGGTCAGATCACAAGTCAGGGTTAGGATGAGAGTGAGAAACCAGGTCAGTCTGAGATTAGGATCAAGGTCATGGTCAAAAAAAATTAAATTGAGTTGGGGACTGTTGGAGCAAGGGTCAGCAGGGCCAGGGTCCGCAGTGAGGAACCAGGCGAGGCCCTGGTGAGGGGTCCGGGCTGGACTGGGGCCCTGCACCTCGTACTCCTGCTTGAAGCCGTAGCCCTCAGCCGTCTTCATCTGGTTGATATGCTGCAGGAGGTCGGCCACACGCACTGCAGGATGCAGCTGCCCCGTGTGATACGGGGAGCCCTTCCGGCCACACGGACGCCGCGGTGAGCCCCCCAGAAGGCTGCTGGCCTCAGTGACCCCACCACCACGCTGGTCCCCTGCAGTCAGAGAAAGAGAAAGGGGTTCCTGACACACACGGGCCCCAGACTGGGGAACCCCAGATGAACTCAGGGGCTGAGGGAAGACAGGGAGCACGGCCAACATGGAGGATGGCTGGGCTGTTCACTGGAGCCAAGCAGCTGGGCTGGGCCTACCCGTGTGACCCAGGGCAAGTCCCTTCTCTTCTGTAGCTCAGTTTTCCCATCTGTAAAATGAGCGGGTCAGATCACGTGACCTCTGAGGGCCCTTCTGGCCCAGCCCTGCCTGCGGTCCCCTCACTCCCTCCCTCAGCTCCCAAGCCAGGACCACCCCGCTGTGACTTCTCCATGCTGCCTGGTGGGCAAATGCTCAGCAGAGCCTGTGACAGCCTCCTCCTCCTCCCTGCTTCCAGGCAACAATCTGGAACACTGGCAACTCCCAGCAATTACCCCCATTCAAAGACAAGCAAATCCTGAAATTAGCTGCTGCCGCCACCCCCTCTGCAGATTCACACCAGGCACCTGAACAGAGGCGTTTCTCCTGCGCAAGCATTTCCATTGTCAGCCTGTGCAGCGGCCTCAGCCAATCAGGGAACAGGTGGAGAGGTTCACAGTGCCCCCCAAAAAGCACTATCCCCTTCCCCCAGGCCCACCCACTCCCCGACTCTTCTGGTCAGCACCCCCAAGGACATCCCACCCTGGTCCCTGAGATCAGGTCGAGGGATTAAGAAAACAGCCCCACTCAATCCCGCCCACCTCCGACACTCACTCCCACACACTTACTTAACGCTCCTTTCCCTGCTCCTGAACTAGTTAAGAAGCGGGGCTCGTCCAAGGCCGGCCCTCACGTTTCTCACAGCTGTGCTCTGCCCAGGTCTGAGCTGGCAGGAGCAGGCGGGGAACTCCCAGTGGGACCTCAGTGCCAGCCTCCTCCCTTTCTTCCGCCTTCACATACGCTGTTCCCTCTGCCTCCAATGCCTTTCCCCTTCTGTGTTTCCTGGTAGAGTCATACTCATCCTTCAGATCTCAGACAAATGACCCTCGTGGGCAAGGCTTCTCTGGAGCCTGGCTTCTAATTCCTCCTCATGACTACCTGACAGAATGAATTGCATGAGCACCAGGACAGAACCCTGCACAGCTCACCTTCCCCAAACTCCAACCCCTGTCCCTTCAAATCCGGAGACAGCTGGGCCCTGCTTGGGTCCCCCCTTTCCATGCCACATTTTGAAAACTGGCTCTAGGTGGAAAGGCGATTTGAAGGCAGGGCTCACCTCATTTGTTTCTCTTCTCTCAGTAATCAGTCCTGAGCTGCCTGCCCGTCACCCAATGTCTGAAAACAATTATTTCACATCTTTTATCCAGACTTCTAGTTGCTTACAGCTGGAGAGCAAGTCAAGCACCAGGTACACCATCATAGCCAGATGCCCTAAACCCTTAATTTTACAGATGAGTAAACTGAGGTCCAAAGTTGAGAGCCTTGCCTAGTGTAGTGGTTGCTAAAGTGTGTTCCAGAAAATACTAGTACTAAGTGGTAGTCCATTAAAAAGGGAAGGAGGACAAACAGGGGTTCTGTTTTAAGGGAATCTTTGAAATTCTGGCTTAAAAAATAAGTAGGGTTTGTTTTTATCTCTATAAGACCTCTTAGGGCTTCCAACATGGTGGTGCACATTTTAAATCTCCAGGAGATGGGTGGAAATAGCAGTGTTTCACCACTGTCTTTCACCATGGAGAGCTTTGTTTGTTTCATGAAACATCCCCAGGGGGACCCAGTGTAATGTGGCGATTAAGAGACGGGCTCTGGAGTCAGACAAGCCTCAGATTAAATCCCCGCTCTGCATGTGACCTTGAAGATGTTACTCTCTCTAAATTTCCATTTTCACATATTAAATGAAGATCAAAACTGTTACTCTCCAATATGATGATGTACATATCAAATAAGACAATATAAATATATAATGCACCCAGCCTAGCGCCTGGCACATAGTGAGGACGTGCTGATGGTGGCTGCTAATGTGATTAGTAGTTCCCAGGGAAGGGAGAAACCCCTTGAGTCCCGGAAAGCCAGGGCAGCTGGCTGACAAGAGGGGGCCTTTCTGTCCCTCTCTGCGGTAGGATCTTGGTCCAGGACCTGACAATTCTAAAGAGTATCTACAACAAACACACAAGTACAAAGATTTCAAGAAAGAGGATTTCTCCTGGCTCGAAGAACTCATAGAGATAGAGAGGTCCAGAGGGTTCTTTGTGGAAACCATGCCAACATCCGCACAGAGGGCTCTCCAGGTGGAGAAAGGGGCAAAGGAGGTGGCAGGGAGTCCAACAGCTCCTTCCAGAGGCCCTGCAGGGCCGGCAGCCCTGACCCACCCTCACAAATAGGCATGAATCAGTTGGCAATGGCTGAAGACAAGCAAAAAATCCCTCTAGCTGAGATCCCGACAGGGAGCCAGAGGCAAATCTAGGTGGCCTCCAGCTGAGCCTAAGAACACACAAGACATTCTACAAAGACCATCAGAAGACAATGATGAATGATGATGTTGCCAAGAGGACCCTCCATTTCCTGGGTCCAGAGAAGACAGGTTCCTGCTCTCCATGCCTATGAATTCCCATGGGATTTCTCTCTCTCTCTCTCTCTCTCTCTCTCTCTCTCTCTCTC